TACCCTGGCCATAAAACAGTGTGGAGAACCTCATGGTGATAGGAGCTTAGGTTCTGGAGTGGGGTTAACTTCAGTTCATATTATAATGCTACTACTTACTAACCTATGGCCTGGGGAAAATGATAACTATTTAGATGTTGACTGATCCTATTTGAAAGTAGGGATGGCTAACCCTTTACCAGGTTGTTGGGATTAAATGAGATGATACATGTAAAGCTAGTTCTATACTTGGCTTAGAAAAGGAATACAATCACTGTCGCCCGAAGGCAAGGAATAGAACACAATTATACTTCTAAATAGTTGTGCTCTTGCCATGTACGAGTGCTTGAAGCTGAGCACAGGGTGTTTATCTCCCCAGTACAGGGAGAATGAGGCAGGATGATTGTGGGTTAAAATCTAGCTTGAGCTACATAGTTAGAACCTGTCACAAAACAAAAGGAATCAACAACAACAAAGAAATAAACAAACAAAACATCCTTGAAATCCTGGTGAACTTTGCTGTATAGGCTGATGTGGTAAGACTCATTTTTCCCTTCCCTCTGGTAAGTTATCCATAATATTTGCCCCAGAATTTCTAAATGTTAGCCCTGCAGCTCTGTTCTTGGTGTGTGTCATGAGTAGGACATAGTTCCTGTTTTCAAGGTTCTTACTGGTTGGTGGGATGATCAGGACCGAGATAAGCAGACAGACAAGTAATAACCACCATATAGCCAGATAACCACTAATGCTATCATGTTTGCATGAACAAACTCCATGAGACATTGGAGGAGACTGTAATCAAGATATCTATGATTATAAATACCTTCTCTTCAGAACATAAACAAAGTTTATGTTTCCTCATAGGCTGCCTATGGCAGATAGCAATGCTAAAGCCCATGCTCTGTTATAATCTAACTCATCTGCATCTATAGGTGACCTGCCTGGTTCTATCTGCCTCTATCCCTAATTGGCACTGTCTACAACTCAACTTAATCCTTGTAGGAAACCCTAGGCAAATAATCCTAAACACATAACCCCTTACCTGGGTGAAAATATAATTTTTTTCTTTCATTTTATCAAGAGACAACTGTCTTCCATCACAAAAGTTCACACAGGATTAATCAAGTAATAAGCATTATTATTTGCTGAGTCTTCAGATCATGTGGCAGAGACAATACTGAATTCTTTACCACAGTCTCTCCTTAAATCCATCTCCATATTAATTGTACTGAAGGTAAGCACTAAGCACCAAGAGACTGAGAAGTTTGCACAATACCCCAGCATTGCTTCTCAATTGTGTCTGACTCCAAAGTCTGGTCTCTTAATCACATCTCTTATTCTCAGCATATGCCAAACTAGTCTAGTCGCTTTTCTTGCCCCAGATTTAACAAAAGATACTCAGGTAGATTTAAAACACACGCACATAACACACATGCAGTACTAAGAAGAAAATACCTGATAATGCCCAAGTCATCTCCATTTAAATATACCATTTTCAAGAGTACCATTTCTTTGTCTGTATTTGAAGAATACCTAGTCCGCAAAACAAGAAACACCTGTGTTAGAGACTCACTCTTATGTTTTAAGAACAATAAAAGCTGGCACAAAATAATAACATATCTTACAAAGTAAAATGCTTGACTAATAGTAATAGTTCTATAAATGCATCAAGTAACTAACTATTCCTTATGTAAGGAAATCGAGTACAATTGCCATCAATCACATGGGCACTAGACCAACTAAATGAAGGTGGACTAATTATATTTGTATAATATAAGTAATGCTCTATAATATGTATGTGTGTGTTTCTGAAAAAAGGGGTTTGTCTTTGATATTTCTACTCATATCAGATTTAAGCAGGATCTCTTAAAAAGAGTGTACAAAACTAAAGTCACTCAACACTCACAACTTAAGTATTCTTTTATATTCTTTCAAAGAAAATCAGATTATATTTTCTAAAAACAAACACCTTTGAAACCTATTAAATAATACAAAGACAAGTGTGAAATGTTAAGCAGCCAATTCACAAAGCCAGAGTAACTAGGTTCTTCTCTCCTGTGGGAATCTTGATTCCTCACTTTAAGAAAACACAAAATATATCTTGGTTTAGGCCAATAATCCTTACTAATTGGGAAGTACAGACTGGGGAACTGTGGTTCAAGGCCAGCTTAAGCCAAAAAGTTTCAAAGACTCCATCTCTAAAAATAACTGGATATGGTCAGGTGTCTGTTACATACCATACCAATAATTCAGGAAAGTGAAAAATAGGAAGACTGCAGTCCAGGCTAGCCTGGGCATGAAGAAAGACTCTACCTTGAAAATAACCAACTCAAAAAAGGACTGATGAGTGGCTCTACTAGTAGAGTGCTTGCCTAGAAATCACAGGGCATTAGGACACTAGTACTGCCCCAAAGAACAACAAAAATTTTACCTCCCTTAATTGTTGCATTTAGTTATGTTTCATTTATTTCTTTACTTCCTTCAGGATTCTTTTTTCTTTTATCATTTTTCCCGTCCCCTTCTCCTAGACTATGATGATTTCTGGATAGCACATAATGAAATAGATATTCATTAAAAATGTGTTGTGCATATTTTAATCTCCATTTTAAGAGATGAAGAGGATGAAAGCCATAAATTAAGTAGTAATTATGTAAGGTCACAGAGCTACAAAGCAAGTGGGGGGATGGAGTGGGGAAGGGATGGAAAGGGGAAACAAAGGAGGAGGCAACAATGCTTGATAAGAAATGTACTCACTATCTTACCCATGTAATTGTAACTTCCTGTATGGTATTTTCACATTTAAAAAAAAGAAGTGCCATGAGGGGAAAAAATAAAAACTAAAGTGATTAGGTTAGTCAAAAAAAAGCAGCAAAAGTAAGACAATAGTTATGTCAGTGATAGAAGAACCATCCCTAATGATCATCAAAGTACAAACACACACACTAAAAACTAGTTCCTACATTTATTTTTAGTTTTCCTGCTTGCCTTCAACATGTCTAAAAAACATATACTATTAATAATACCCTAGGATTCCACCATTCCACCACCTAACAATTCTGGACTAAGATTTTGTTGCTCTTTTCTAAGGGAAATGCATTGATCCTATTTTGACAATTTCCTCTTATTGTGTTCTCTCAGATTGTGGATTCTGAAGGTAAGAAGTAGGGCTTCAGTTGATCTGCACACCAGCAACATTTCCTTTATTAATAAATATTCTCCCATGTTTCATATTTGTCTGTGCTATGTCAATGCTCTGAAAGTTAAAAAAATAATAAAATTACGGTAACCTTAGACATCATAGTGGGTATAATGACTTTGTCAATGTAATGAGAAAGTTCTGTAAATGATTTCCTATATCTCTCACATCCCACTGTAGGGAAAAGGCTATAGAACACATGGTTGCTGTCAATCTGGAGGTAAATAGAAACAGTCTTTCTAGTTAAAATGGAAGACATGCTGTGTGGAGACACATGGTGCTAAGCCTTGTCTAGGAAATTACCACAGTGAAGAACCAATGGCTCTGTCTCAAGTGCAGTTCCTCCTGCCTGTGACTTGGACATAGCTCACTTCCAAGTGACATTTGCCTGCCACATGGAACTGCATTTGACAACTGTATGCTTTGAACAGCTCCATCCTGGGTCTCCTAAAATATCCTGTATGGTTTGCACAGAAACTTCTTTCTTCCGTCTGTATCAGCTCTCCAGCTATGTAGCACAGCCCTTCTGAACTCTACGGATTTATTAACTTTTTGTAGCCATTCTCTGTATGTGTATAGGTATGTGTAAATATACTGTATGTGTAAATATACTGTATTGCTGAGAGTTAATATTAAAAGTTAAAATTAGAATAAAACAACTGGTAATTACCAGTGTCTAGGACTACCAAATGAAATCAGTAGTACTTGACAGTTTATAACCAACAAAATTGATGTTGCTTAAAAATGTTCTCTTGTTCAGTAAGTCCTGATATTGTGAAAAGATATAGATATATCATGTATGTTTCTAATAGAGCTCACTCATGACACTTATGCAACAAAATAATAGCATGGTAGACAGAGGATGGAGTATAACTCATCTGGGAGTGGACCTCTATCTGGCTTTTAAAGGGTACACAAATAAAATATCTAAAGGATTAATCTAATTCCTTAGCAAAAGAAAACACCAGCATGTGGATATTCAAAGGGGTCGGGATCAGGTCAAAGAGAAAATAATAGAAGGATGAAGAGGGGAAGAAAGTAGTCAAGAATCCAATGTCTATCCTACAAAATTAAAAGAGTAAGAGAAGGGGTGGGTAGGACAGGGATGGATGAAAATGCTGAAATCAGACATGTTGTATTCATAAACTGCTTTGTTAGATGGCAATTCCTTTGTACAACTGCTTTAAAAGATAATAATTAAATAGAAATAAATATTAAAAAGTATAAGTATTAAGTTACTAAATATTAAATAATCTTTCTTTAGATTTAAAGAACTCAGAACAATTGGTGACCTTCAAATAACGCCAGAATGTGTGATGTCTTCCTTATTCTTTATTTCTATGCATAAACTTAAATGAATCATGCAAATTGAGGTTTAACCTGGAGAATAATAATGTGTCTGTAACTAGCAATGGGAAGTCAAGGTTCACAGTAATGTTCTGGACAGAGGGAAAAAATATGGACATGGTATTAAGAAAACCCAACACAGCATGCAGTGTTCCTCTACTGTTCCACCGTACCCCCTTTTCATCCTTATTAAAAGCCCCTTCTCTACTGAGTTCCAAGATGGACTTTTGAAGTGATGATCACCTCATCCTGCCACTACATGACATCCTTGAAGAGACCTGATTTCCTTACTAAATCTCATCTCTTAGCTTTTAGATATGAAGGCTAGTTGACAGATTTGGGTCTGATAATATGAGGAAGGAGAAAGTAAGATAGGTACTAACACTGTATCATGCCAAACCACTCCTGAAATGCATGTAAACAATAGTAAACAAGACCCCAGTCTCTGGATCTCTTTGCCCCAGGGCTCTTTGCCTACCTTCACAATACCAATACTCAAAGGTCCGATTGCTAAATCCTTCACTGAGGATGAGAAATAGAGTGTACTGGAAATACCCAGCTGGACCTGAGTGTGGATAAGTGGCACTCAGGATACCATTATCTCTTCTGTGGAGGGACCCATATTTACTCTTTAATCTGCTGAGGACCTTCAAGGAAAATGAAAAAAATAAGAGGATTAAGAAAAGGAAATAAGAAAAGGCCTCTGAGGAGTTCAGTCACTGCTCCATCCCATTAAAATTTCTTGCCAGCAGCCCTTTCATGGTTCACTATATTATCATAGTAATACATACATAGTAATAATAGCAATATCTACATGAACAAAGTTAGGTATTTTATGCATATTATATCACGTTTAAATACAACAATCCCAAGGAGTAGGTATTGTTAGCTCTCCTTTTTAGATGAGAACACTGAAATGTATATAAATTATAACATTTACCATTGATTTCATGAATAGCAGAGCCAAACTCCAGATCAAGTCTCTTTAACCAATACCTATACTCAATCGTTATTCGATGCACAATATTAATAATATCCAAGCTTAGAATACTAAGCAAGAGAAATACAATAAATTTCTGCCTGGAAGATGCTTTCATTCTAATGAGGGATTAACACAATAAACAAATCTGCAGTATACTATGATATAATAACAAATGCTATGAAGAGAAAACATTCCTAAATAAGGATGATAGTGTTGATGGGTGTTAGCAGCAAAGATCTTTCTAAAAGGGGGCACTTTTTAGCAGAGGCAATGCCCCCGGAAAAGCATGGCAGTCATAATAAATAGATTTTTCAGATACCTCTTAGCTACTCTATTGCCTCACTTTCTGAGAAGAAGAACTTAGTTTTTCCAGACATGGACTACTATACCCAAGGGAAACCAGACACTATGTGTAAGGAGTAGGGTATCCTTCCAATGGCTGGCTTCCAATCTCAGCAAAGGCCCAAGTGAAGAAAATCTCTACCCAGTAAGAACTAACTTGCCAGCCATGTGAGTGAGCAACCACAGTAATAGATTCACCAGCCTTCGTCAAGTATGCAAACAACTGCCACCCCAGCCAACATCTGCATGCTGCCTCGTGGCCCAGAAATGGTGACATGCCATTCCTCTTCTGACACAAGTCAGAATCACCAACCCACGGAAACCTTCAGCTGTAATGCATGATTGTTATTGCTTTAAGTCTTTAGATGTTTGAATGACTGGTTGTTCAGCAATCGATAACTAACATAAAGATTCCCAGTAAATGTCCATGGCATTAGCTAATGAACATCAAAATATATGTCTCAAGAAAATGGAAAACTAGTAATGCTGCTGAGTATCCATTTCTGATATGCCACAACCATCGATAATCTAAAGTTTGGTATGATTATGGCTTCTTTGTGAGAGATCATTAAAATAACCCAACAAAAGTATCAAACCCAAAGCAAACATTAGCAATGATTGCTTTGAGTGTGGCACATTCAGATAAACTCTCTGGGAATTTAAAAAAAATTAAAAAGCCCTCATCCATGTTGTTTGCTGATTTCTGTGCTATGAAACCTCAGGTCATGATCATACTACCAATTTAACAACCAACTTACAGTGTTACTAAATATTTAATAATTCATTATTGTGAACATGTCCAATGCATTTTTGGTCCATAGAAGATTAGCAGCTTAAGTACTAGATATTGAACACATTAAAAATGAACATATAAAAAATGAAATCTATTTCATTTTGGCTGCAGAGCTACACATGCTTAACCCAGTTGTGCAGTCACTAAAGCGGAAAGAAGATTTCACAAATTATCATACCTCCTTAACCCTTTCATGCTCTAAAAACTAATCGTTAGACTACTTTGTCCATGCAAGCAATGCTATTGTCCAAGTGAGTATGGGAAGGAAATGTGGTAGAGCATCCCTAGCATCACTCTAACTGAGCAGTACATGGGTTCCTTCTGTTTGGCCCTTACTCCAGCCTCAATTGCTCTTCCTCCCACATACTCTTTCATCCTGTAATTACTACACTCATGAACAAGAAAAGTCTGTAAAGAGAGGGAAAATTGCCTAAGTCAAATACTGATGTCATACAATTCAACAACTAGACAAGAAAGAACTATAAAGACTATAAAGAACTCTAAGTCCACTAAACATCTCTTACCCACATTCATTTCATTCCTAAAGAACTATAACATGAAGAAGCAATCCAAAAATTCATATGGAACAATAAAAGACCCCCTGAATAGCAAAAACAACCCTTAACAGAAAGAGCAGTGCTAGAGGAATATCTATATCAAATTTCAAACTCTACTATAGGTAAGATATGGAACCAACCCAGATGTCCCTCAATAGATGAATGGATCAACAAAATATGATATATATGTATATATACACACATATATATGTATATATATACATTATACATACATATATATATACATATATATATATACATATACAATGGAATTCTATGCCTCCATCAGAAAAAATGACACCGCCCCATTTGTTAGGAAATGGGGGAAAGACTTGGAAAAAATTATCTTAAGTGAAGTAAGCCAGGCCCAAAGAATCATAGGTCCCTTGGGCTGGGAAGGTGGCTCAGTGGTAGAGCGCTTGCCTTGTAATGCATGAGGCCCTGGGTTTGATTCCTCAGCACCACATAAGCAAAAAAAAAAAAAAAGAATCTAGGTCCCATGGTGTCCCTTATTTGCAATAACTAGTACATGTGTAGGACAAGCAGAAAAGGCCAAAAGTTACGTATATATGATGTTAAGATGATGTTAAGTGAAATGAACCCGAACATAGAGACACAAATATCTTTTTTCTTTCTTGCTATTGTTTCTAACGTATTTATAATGTACCACGTGATTTTTTTGTTGCTTTGTATGTTCCTCCCCCACAGTAAACAAAGGAGGAGGCAACAATGCTCAATAGGAAATGTACTCATCACCTTGCTCATGTAACTGTAACTCCTCTGTACAGCATTTTTACAATAAAAAACATACAAAAATTAAATTAAATTTAAGAAATAAAACTGAGTCCTTTGGACGTAAATCATGTCAAATAGTTTTTTCTTCTCTTTCTATACATTTGGATACTGTTTTGTTGTAGGAAACATGGCTAAACATGGATAAAGTAGCTTTAGTGAAGGCATCATGGCCAAATTGTATGATTTTGAACATCGATAAAACTGACTTTTGAGTAAGTGAAGGATGAACTATCCCAATAATAATAGTCAAAAAAGAACTATAACATGAGGATTTTTAAATAAGTGTATTTTTTCATGACTAGTCAAGAATCAAGCTCTTTAAACTTATGATAGGGACACAAGAGGTTTTAGCTTTGTCGCTGTGCTTATTAATGTAAAGTGATTTTTTTGTTTCTTTTGAATGTTCTTCCCCCATGGTATAACCCCTGTTTTCACTCTATTTGATTCTGATACCCTACTATATATATAACTTATTATTTTCACTGAATAATTATTGAATAATATATATACATTGAATAATATATATATATATATATATATATATATATATACATTTTTTCAAATTTGGGGAGGGGAAGGGAAATAACAAAATGCTGAAATAAGGATAGAGGTTGAGCCATTGTAACAATGAGATGTACAAGACACTATGACAAGACCCTACAACAAGATGTACAAGACACTACGAACTTTACAACTTGGGAGGGGAGGGGAGAGGGTTGGTAGTGAAAAACAAAGGAGGGGGTGACAATGCTCTATAGGAAATTTACTCATTACCTTACTCATGTAACTGTAACCCTTCTGTACAGTATCTTTACAGTAAATACATATTTTTAATTAATAATAAAATTTTTAAAAAGGTAGCAATTATGACCCAGGTGCTGGTGGTTCACACCTGTAAACTTAGCTACTGAAGGGGCTGAGATGAGCTCTGAGGATCTTGGTTTAAAGCCTGTCCAGGCAGGAAGGCTGTCAAACTCTTTATGTCTACTAAACTACTCAGAAAAGGCCAGAAGTGGTGATGTGGCTCAAGTGTAGAGCACTAGCCTTAACCAAAAAAAGCTTAAGGACAAAAATGGCCCAGGACCCGAGTTCAAGCTCCAGGACAAGATAGCATAAATCTTGAATCTTACAACTGAAGGTCTACAAAGAGCACATAGATATCTTATCCTAAACCCAAGTCTGAGATAGAGGATCCGAGACATAGGACTTCTGGGAGAGGGGGTGGGTGTAGGGGAGAAAGAAAAACAAATAATCATACAATAACCATGTATATAAATAGCCATTATAAACAATGGAGTGTCCATTCTGGTGAAAGGAAGGGTATTTTAAAACAGAACAAAGTAGATACATTAATGTGTGTGGCTTGTCTTATGTTTCCATTCCATTTCCTATTGCTGGCACCCTTGAGAAAAAAGAAGTAGAAAATCACCCGTTTCCCTGCCTGGCTTCAGTGATCAAAGATGCTCCCTAATCTTCATTTCACACTGGAAATGTCATCAGTCTTAATGCTGCCTAATCCTAGGCATTGCAAATAAGCCTAATAGCACTTAGCTCCAATGTTTTCAAGCCTTTCCTTGAGCTAACTTGTGGTAACTAAGTGGATTATTTAAAGATCTCCCCATCAGGTTTCAGAAAGTAGGTAAAGGTAAACATAGGAAGAAATAGTTACTGGATGATATTTACAAACCAACATGAAACCCTTCTCCTCTCCTTACTCTACCCCCAAAATCTACCTTTTGATTTTCCATGTTTGCTGATGACCCCACCATTCCCAATTGGAGCCATCTTTGATTCCCCCAGAAAAGCAGTGTAGCTCAGTGGTAATAAAGATGCTTTCTGGCACTATTCAAGAAGCTTAACATTGAATCCTAGCTCTAAAGGTTTCTTGCTTTAGAACCTTGGATAAGTTATTTGATCTTCTGCAATTTTGTTTCCCAATCTATTCAGTGTTACATATCAGCAACTCCCTCATAGAGTTGTTTCAACGACTAAATTAATATAAAAAGCAACTGGAATAATTATCTGGATGATCATTAATACTATGCAACTAAATGGCATTTAATTTTACCTACAACTACCATGGGATCTCACTGCCATTCCATTGGATTGAGACTTTTTTTTAACCAGTCTCATATAGAGAAAACTATCAGGCAAAGTTCAAAAACCTTTTCTGTGACTCCACCTTCCCTTTCTTGTATTTTTCAGACTTCCAATACTTTGTAAAATCCCCTGTATTTAATTCCCTCTGCTTGAAATACCTGGTACTATAACTATTTTCCCAATGGGACTCTCATCAATAGAACCTCAATATTAAACAATCTGCCAATATCTACTCGCTTGTAGTTCCACCTTATCCAAGTCCATATGAAACAACTTTAACTGGTTAATCATCCAAATATGATAATTGTGTGTATATTACACAAGAATTTTAAAAGACTACATATTACCCAGTGTATTATTTAAAAAAACTTGGAATCACAGGGTCTGCACAATTATGAGCAATACATCATTCATACACATCTCCAATTCCATGCATCTTTGTCCTAATATAACTCCTCTATCCCCTCAAAAAAGTCTATATCCCTCCTTTGCAACTTTGTGTTCATAATAGCTTCCATCTAATCTCAGCCTTCCCCTATTTTGCCCATTTAAAATTCTGCACACTCCATTATCATTTATACAATGAAAATCTTTTATTATTTTTTATTTCCTGTTTTCTCTTGTGATGATCTTTGAAAACTGTGTCCACAAATGATTTGATATATCTCCCTTCAAAGTGTTAGGGCTAAATTTTCTTACCCTTATATGTGTGTGGGGCCTAGTGACTGGAGAAATAGAGCGAGAGTAATGGTGTGTAATTTCTGAAAGTGGGTCAGAAAAGGCACTGTGGCTTCCTCCTCACTCATTTTCCTGAGTGATTCCCTCCAAGGGATCCATCTGGATATGGAGTTCTCAATACCAACCACAGGAGGGAACTATCTTAGAATTGGATCCTGCAGCCGAAGACAAGCCTTCAGATGTCTGTATTCTTTGCCTTCACCTCGACAGACAACCTACAACAAAACCTCATAGCCAAGCCAGTCCTGAATTTCTAATTCATATGCCTTTGTAGAATAATATTTTTATATTATAAGCCTCTCTATTTGGAGGCAGATAATTATTACACAGGAATAGAAAACTAATATGCCATTATACTCCTGTGGGTTATGACTACATATGTGTTCCTAAGTCTCAACACAAAAGCCTCACAGAAGATGTGGATTCCTGATTCCCTTGGCTTTGTGGCTTCTGTTAGGTCTGGCAAAGTTCCTTATAATAAAAGAAGCGATTCAGGCATTTCGTCCCTCTAAAGAATTATGTTTCTCTTTGAAGAGAAAAGTAGGATGGCCAATAGACACATGAAGAAATGCTCAACCTCCCTAGCCATAAAAAAAATGCAAATCAAAACAACATTGAGATACCATCTCACCCCAGTTAGAACGGCTATAATCAAGAACTCTAATAACAACAGATGCTGGAGGGGATGTGGACAGAAGGGAACCCTACTGCATTGTTGGGAATGTAAACTTGTTCAACCACTTTGGAAAGCAGTATGGAGGGTCCTCAAAAGTCTCCACATAGAGCTCCCCTATGACCCAGCAATCCCACTTTTGGGTATTTACCCAAATGATCACAAACAAGACCATACTAAAGCTACCAGCACAAGTATGCTCGTTGCAGTATTATTTACCATAGCTAAGATATAGAAACAACCCAGATGTCCCTCAGTAGATGAATGGATCAAGAAAATGTGGTATATATACACAATGGAATTCTATGCCTCCATCAGAAAGAATGACATTGCCCCATTTGTTAGGAAATGGAAAGACTTGGAAAAATTTATATTAAGTGAAGTAAGCCAGGCCCAAAGAAACATAAGTCCCATGGTTTCCCTTATTTGCAATATCTAGTATATGTCTGAGACAAGCAGAAAAGATCAGATAAGTTGATGTTAGTTGAAATCAACCCCAAGATAAGTATTCAAATGTTTTTTTTCTTTCTTGCGGTTGTTTCTAACATGTTTATAAGATGATTTCTTTGTCGCTTTGTATGTTCCTCCCCCACAATATAACCCCTGCTTTCATTGTTTTTGATGTTGGTATAATTTGTGGAGGGGAAGGGCAAAAACAAACCATTAAATAGGGATACAGGTGGACCCATTGCAACAATGAGATGTACAAGTTGTTATGTCAAAAAACAAACTTTACAACTTTGGTGTTTGGGGGGAGGGGGAGGAGGGAAGTTAGGGCGGAGGGGGGAAGGGATGGGAAGGGGAAACAAAGGTGGAGGCAACAATGCTTTGATAAGAAATGTACTCATTACTTTGCCCATGTAATTGTAACCCCTCTGTATGGTATTTTCACAATAAAAAATTAACAACAACAACAAAAAAAGAATTACATCTCTTTGAAGAATATGGACTATGGGCTCAAGCACACACGTATTCAGAACCTAGTTCTACCATTTCCTAACTGCCTGAGTTTTGGAAAGTAAATTAACTTCTCTATGGTTCAGTTACATTTTTCATGATAGAGGACTAAACATAGAGACACCTCAAGGCTTGGTTGTAAACATAGGTGAGAGAAACATACTTAATGACCCTGTCCCTCCCGTTTCCTCAGATGAGACCTCCACTTCACTCCCAAGAGACAATAGTATCTTTGAGTCATCTCACCTTCTACCCCACCCTACCAGCCCCTTAAAAAGAAACATCAAAAAAAGCGGTCTTAGCCGGGCACCAATGGCTCACACCTGTAATCCTGGCTACTCACGAGGCTGAGATCTGAGGATCGCAGTTCAAAGCCAGCCCGGGCAGGAAAGTCCGTGAAACTCTTATCTCCAATAAACATTCAGAAAACCTGAAGTGGCACTGTGGCTCAAGTGGCTGAGTGCTAACCTTAAGCTGAAGAGCTGAGGGACAGCACTCAGGCCCAGAGTTCAAGCCCCATGACCGACAAAAAAAAAAAAAAAAGCAATCTTGGGTGAGGCTAAGAAAACACAATACTGGATAACCTAAATTGACTGTTATTGTTTTAGCCAGGGCTCCAGCCTCTTGTTTCTCACATTTCAAAATATGTAAGCAGATATTAACAGAGGGCATTTGCTCATTGTGACCTGATCCTCTGCAGAAAATAGCACTGAATCAAGGCTTCAAAACTTCCTTAGAGAGAGACATGGCAATGCACTTTATTCTGCTTCGTCTCTTTTCCACAATACCTGTATTTCTCACTTCCTCACTTCCTCTTTCCTCCTCCTTCCCTTTTTCTTTCTCTGCTCCTTAAGGCCTCAGACAACCTAGGTACATTTTCCATGTATATTTTTCTTAAAGCCAAATATCATCACAGGTAAGTAATGAAATCTAAATTTAAGGGAAATCATACAAATCATATTCTATAATAAAATCATATTCTATAATAAAATATGAAGATTAAGAGAGTGATAAGAAAGTCTTTTTAACTTACTATTACAGAAATTTTAATAATCATACAAAAATAACCAGAATAATACAATGAACTACCCTTATTACCCAGTTTCTACAGTGACCAACTCCTAATCAATCTTGTTTCATCTGATTCATCTTGTTTCATTTTCCTGAGATTCCTTCTATCTATTCTCAATGGCTGGAGAGGCTAAAGGAAAGATTAGTGATTTATTTCACTCTCAAATATCTAACCTGGATGATTAAATGAGAGAGCATATATAAAGGTCACACGATACATAATAAGCTTTCAAAGAACCACTAGCATTCAAAATGATGATGAGTGATCTGCAGAACTAAAAGCAAAGTTTGACCAAGATCACTTGGATCGTAATAATGACCATTCATATACCATGGCCAATGGTTCTGCCACGATGAAAGCCCAGCTATACAGCCTTGTGAGGAGACCCTGTACATACTGGCCACTTTTGCTATAGCCCATCTAAAGAGAAAGAAAAACTTAGAGCCATCTATCTCACCCAAATACCAAAAACCAGGCCCAAACAGAGAAGAGTAGATTTCTGCAGACATACAAAGGAAAATCCACACATCTCTGTGACTGAGATGATGTATGGTATGTTTTCTAAACTATAAATAAATTAAGAATCATAGTAGAGGCCTTAATCAATCTGCAGAAAAAAGGAAGGTTAAAGAACTGATCCAATGGTAAGAAGGTATTCACTGGGATTGGGCAATCAAGAAGCTTAGGTGGCTCAGAAATCCCATTTCTACATTGGAGATCTTTAGGAACTTTTCATTGACATGGAAGCTTTCCTTCTTCTAAGGTACCAAAAACAGGATGTGTTCACTATAAAGGATCTCACATTGTAGCAAGAACATCTAAAGATTAGCATTCTCTCCCCCACCCCCACTCTTTGCCATTGGTTCTTTCTTTGAATAGTTTCATTTCCTTCATTGTTATTATCCTTTTCTACCAACAAAAATCTATACCCATGTCTTCAGATGCCCCTGGGCTGTTTGCTCTCTCCTTCATGAGATCATTGATGTAGGTTGTACATTCCAAATAGCTTAGAATATAAAGATTGTTTAGCAGAAGGGATTAACCTTTAATGGACAAGTTCATGTGCTGGTTCTGTAAGGAAGTGTTGCACAAAGGTGCATTTTTACCACCATAGCCAATAACTCCCATGTCAGCAGTCAACAGAACACCCTGACCCATGAAGGATTTTATTGGCTGACATGATGTTAGCCCAGTTGTAATCACAGTTGCATCTCTATTTTGAAATGAGAGGTTTAACTGGCTTTTATTGACAAAACTATAAGACAAGGAAGCCATGAACCCACATATTCACCCATAAAATATGATTAATTGACTTAATATTGGAGGTATACTAAAATTGTTTCCCTCTTTCTTGAAGATTGATATTCCTAGTCCTAGATTGTTACAAATATATTTAGAAAAAACTATAAGGCATGGACAGGTATGATTGTTCATTCCTGTAATCTCATCAACATAAGTGACCAAAGGAAGGATGATCACGGGCCAAGGCCAGCCTCCTGCTTACACATGAGACCCTATCTATAAGATAACTTGTAAAAAGTAAAAAAACAAAGAAAAAAAAATCTTGTTGGGAACATGCCACAAGTGGTGGAGTACCTACATAGCAAGCTCACATCTCTGAGTTTAAACTCCAGCATTACCCAGAACACACTCTACAAACACAGAAACACACAGACACAGACATTCATACATGCACACACACACACACACACACACACACAAACACACCCCAGAAGGCAGTTATAATAATAAAGAACAGAGGATACAAAATAATGCAAAAATGTTAATAGCTTCCTTAATGAATCCAGCATTTACTTACCAAAAGAATATCTGATACTTGTCCGGTGCAGTCAGCTCGCCCAACACCTATATGGTAGCCACTGAAGTTCTGAAATAGAGGAGGCTCCGGGGTACTAATCACGGGAGTGGTTTGAATGTCTATGGGATCCTGGGTGGTTAACAAACCGTGATCTCCTGAGTCTAAAACAGAATAAAGTATTGGAGAAGAAACATTTTCATGTTTCTTTGTCTAGATTCAATTTGGTTCCAATGGAAAAACTGTGATATATTCTCATATGTACAACAGATAGAATGAGAAACAGGAAGTATCTGGAACCATAAATCTAAGCAGATTCTTTTCCTTGACCAGAGATATTTCAGACTAAAGTCAAGGCCCCTGGGAATGTCCCTCAGCTTTTCCCTACCAGACTTCCTAGTCATCCCCATCTACTTGACTCACTTTTTTTGCATTTCTGTGCCAGCTACGCAAAACATGTAGCAGACTCCTGCCACTCAACCTGCCAACCGCAACTTCTGGGCATTTCTTTCATTCTCTCCACTCAGACTTCTCTACTACTGCTTTCAGAACTGATCTACCTCTATCATACCTAGATCCAGATCAACTCTTCATCTCCAGAATGCCACCCATTTATCTTTGCCCTTATGTGGCCTTTCTCTACCTCCTAAAACCTTCTATTAATACAAAGTAAATCACTGTATACTTGCTACATAGTCACCTTCTTTTGAGTTATTCTCATATATGAAAATATATATTTTTTCATGTATATGAGCTATGTTAATGTAGATATATAAACACGTATTTATTTATTTTATAATATTCAAATATATATGATCCTCATAGGACAAAGAATGACAGAGATTAAGAAGCAGGTGCCATAAACAAAGTATCTGACCTTAAAATCCATCCAACTCTATCAGTTACTTAAGCTATTTTACCTCATTTTCTCATCTACCTAATGGCTTCCTAGGGTAGTTCTCAAATAATTATGTTAATACATATATATTAAAATTTGAACAGTGACTTGCATAGAGCTTTGATTCTCTTCACATATTTAGACATTATATATAATATATATGTATGCATATATATTTATTTCTACTCCAGATAATAGTCAAATAGAAAGCAATATATGCATAGTAATGAAGGAATATGATAGCAACTGAAGCCACACTATCACATATTCAAGGGCAAGTTCTTGGCTATCTTGGGGTCTCAGGTTCCCCATAGATGAAAATCACTATGAGTAAGACTTACTTTATAGCTATGTTGTGAGAATTAGATGAAAAACTTGTGTAGAATCCTTACAATGCTGCTACATACACACACACACACACACACACACACACACACACACACACACACACATTCAACCTACAGTAGGTACTTCTATGAAACTATTTATAATTCTTAATAACCTGACTGTCTGCTTTCTAGTTCTCTAATTTTAAGAGCTAAAACCAAGTAATTCCTAAGGATCTTCTCATTTCTAGCATTCCAGGTCCTGCTCTGCCCACTGCTGAAACCGGGGAATCTCTCTTCCTCTGCATCCACAGATAATTCAAAGCACCAGAACATAATGAAGAACAGGCTGGAAAAGAGAAGAGGCTACAAAAGGGAAAAGTGAAATGAAAGATTCCATCTCCTTTCCCATTTTGTCTGAAGCCACCTCTCCCTTTACTTTGGTCACAGAATGCAATCTCCTGCTTTTCCACTCAGTTAACTGAAACTGAGGCTCCAGTAAAGACCTATTCATTGCCCACAGCTTTTGTAGTCTTCACAGCTTTCAAGAGCTAAACCTGATTCCAACATTACATTTAAAAAAAAACACTAAACAATCAAAAGATATCCTCACATTCCAATTTTGTTGCTGTTGTTTGTTGAAAACTTGGAAGATCTGAAGACGACATAACATCATGACAACAAGCACTGAGACCTTATCAGGTCTCCTGCACCAGAATTCCCTCTGTTCCTACTTTATGCTGGAACCTATCCACTCTGTGTTCACAGAGCCTGATAGGCCCTTGTAAGGACTTGAATTTGAGATGCCCTTCCCTAGAGCTTTGCACAGACTGACTTCCCATGGGCCTTCCTTTCTTCTTTTGCTCCCCAGAGATCACGATGCCAAAAATAAAGAGCAGGATTACCCATGGTTTCCCTTATTTGCAATAACTAGTATATGTCTGAGTCAAGCAGAAAAGGTCAGATAAGTTGATGTTAGGGAAATGAACCCTAAGATATGTATCCAAATGCTTTTTGTCTTTCAGGTGATTGTTTCTAACACATTTATAAGATTATTTCTTTGTTGCTTTGTATGTCCCTCCCCCATGGTATAACCCCTGCTTTCACTGTATTTGAGGTTGGTATAATTAGTGGAGGGGAAAAAAACAAATCATTTAAATAGGGATACAGGTGGATCCATTGCAACAATGAGATGTACAAGTCATTATGTGGAAAACGAACTTTACAACTTTTGTGAGAGGGAGAGGAGGATTAGGTGGGGGTTAGGGGGAGGACGGGAAGGGATGGGAAGGGGAAACAAAGGAAGAGGCTACAATGTTTGATAAGAAATGTACTCATTATCTTGCCCATGTAATTGTAACCCCTCTGTACAGTATTTTCACAATTAAAAAAAAAAGAGCAGGATTAGAGCCTAGGTTCCTGAGCTTTGGAAGATGAAGGCAAATACATGCCTGTATCTGTGAACTGAGTATTTGGGGGACAAAGGTAGATGTGATTTAAAAAATGCTATCAATTCAGGCAAGGTATTAATGTAAGAGTGAGAGGACCATCTCAGGCTCTTTACATACACATTGAACTATCAGCCAACACTTGCTCATCTTCTTGGTCATCAAGAAATTTCCTTCAAGCCTAGGGATCTCATCCAAGGAAATCCATTACACTTACCTTTGTGGTTTTTGATGGTCCCATTGGTGATAAACAAGAGGCTGAGAAGGGCTACTGTGATGACAATCATCATCACAAGGAGGAAAATCAGGAATATCTCCAAGGAGGAAAAGGTGTGCTTAGCCAATTCACCAGAGGCAAAGTAAAGAGATGGAAGAAGTATGGAAGAAGAAAAAGACATAACCATGAATTTAAAAATGCATGCTTCAAACTGTCTCAAGGTATGGCCAATAGAATAAAAGATTCTATCTGATCTGTCCTTCATTTTGTGGAGGCTAGGACCAAGACTCAGTGTGGCCTGGAGGTGGAGGTAGAGCTTGGGTTCTGAGGGGCTGAGGTTAGGGTTGGAAATTCCCACTTGTGGGAAGTAAGCTTCTCAAGATTCCAAAGAATCAACCAAGGTAAGTCTTCCAAAGAAAACCAGAACTGAGTGATAGGGAAAACAAGACAAGAATCTTGAGCTTGGAGGCCAAGGCAAGAGCAATCTTAGGTGTCAGCACCAAGGCTGGAGGTTTGGAGCCACATCTACTACATGAGGTATTACACATGATTCCATTTCATGCTGCAATAGATGAGAGAAACTTGGGTGAGTTGGCCCAGCCTATCTAACCATGTCAAGAAGGACAATAATTAAAATCCTAATAACTTATTGACAATTTTATCTTACACGTAGACACTTGTTAAGACACAACAAAGATCATAGACACCTTTTGTAACATACACACATATTAAGAGGAAATAAAATAAACTTATGGAATTCTTAGTATGCTACAGGCAGTAAGAACATTGCATGAATAGCTTAATTAATTGATACAACTCTATGAGATAGCACTGTCTATCTTCCATTCTCAATCTACATTGAAATTTTTTTTTAAAAAACTGAGCCACAGATGGGTACTGGTGGTTCATATCTATAATCCTAACTACTCAGGAGGCTGAGATCTGAGGAATGTGGTTCAAAACTAGCCCAGAAGGGAAAGTCTGTTAGATTCTTACCTCTTATTACTTAATCACCAAAATAGCCAGATTTGGAACTGTGGCTCAAAGTGTTAGAGCACTAACCTTGAACACAAAAGCTCAAAGATAGTGCCAAGGTCCTGAGTTCAAGCTCCAAGACTGGCAAACACACAAACACACACACACACACACACACACACACACACACACACACACACACATTCAACCTACAGTAGGTACTTCTATGAAACTATTTATAATTCTTAATAACCTGACTGTCTGCTTTCTAGTTCTCTAATTTTAAGAGCTAAAACCAAGTAATTCCTAAGGATCTTCTCATTTCTAGCATTCCAGGTCCTGCTCTGCCCACTGCTGAAACCGGGGAATCTCTCTTCCTCTGCATCCACAGATAATTCAAAGCACCAGAACATAATGAAGAACAGGCTGGAAAAGAGAAGAGGCTACAAAAGGGAAAAGTGAAATGAAAGATTCCATCTCCTTTCCCATTTTGTCTGAAGCCACCTCTCCCTTTACTTTGGTCACAGAATGCAATCTCCTGCTTTTCCACTCAGTTAACTGAAACTGAGGCTCCAGTAAAGACCTATTCATTGCCCACAGCTTTTGTAGTCTTCACAGCTTTCAAGAGCTAAACCTGATTCCAACATTACATTTAAAAAAAAACACTAAACAATCAAAAGATATCCTCACATTCCAATTTTGTTGCTGTTGTTTGTTGAAAACTTGGAAGATCTGAAGACGACATAACATCATGACAACAAGCACTGAGACCTTATCAGGTCTCCTGCACCAGAATTCCCTCTGTTCCTACTTTATGCTGGAACCTATCCACTCTGTGTTCACAGAGCCTGATAGGCCCTTGTAAGGACTTGAATTTGAGATGCCCTTCCCTAGAGCTTTGCACAGACTGACTTCCCATGGGCCTTCCTTTCTTCTTTTGCTCCCCAGAGATCACGATGCCAAAAATAAAGAGCAGGATTACCCATGGTTTCCCTTATTTGCAATAACTAGTATATGTCTGAGTCAAGCAGAAAAGGTCAGATAAGTTGATGTTAGGGAAATGAACCCTAAGAT